CCCCCCCCCCCCCCCCCCCCCCCTCCCCCCCCCCCCCCCCCGCCGCGGGGCCCCCCGCCCCCCCCCCCCCCCCCCCCATTCCCCTCCCTTCCTCCCCTCACCCTTGACGATGCGCTCGGTGGTCGGCAGCTTGTTGTGGCCGCGCCCGGACATGGTGGCGGTGGCACCGCTCCCTCCTCCTCCTCCTCCTCCTCTTCCTCCTCCTCCCCACCGCCGTGCCCCCTCACCGCTCCCCTCGCACGGGGGGCCGCGGGGGGTGCTCCCGGCGGCGGCTCCGCGGCGCTGCGATCCCGCCCCCGCCGCCGCCGCCGCGGCCGCCGCCACCACCACCACACCGCCCTCCGCCCTCTGCCCCCCTCCTCCTCCTCCTCCTCCTCCTCCTCCTCGCCTTCCCCTCGCAGCCCGCCCAGCGCAGGCGCCGCGCCCGCCCCGCCCCGCCCGCCATCTTGGAGGGGAAGGGGGTGGTTGCTAAGCAACGGAGGGGGGGGGGGCAACATGGCGGCGCCCCCATCGCCCTCATGGCGTCGGGGGTGACAGTCCCGGAATCACCTCCCCGGTGTTGGGTGGGAAGAGGCTGTGAAATCGTCTAGTAAAAAAAAAATTATCTAGTAAAAAAAAAATAAAAAAAAAAAAAAGTATCTAGTAAATGGAAAAAAAAAAATCACCCAGTAAAATTACCTGTAAAATTATCTGGTAAAAAAAATTTAAAAGAGTTATCTAGTAAATATGGAAAAAATTATCTAGTAAAATTATCTGTAAGATTATCTGGTAAAAAAAATTTAAAAGAGTTATCTAGTAAATTAAAAATAAATTATCTAGTAGAATTACCTGTAAAATTATCTAGTAAAAAAAATTTTTAAAAATTATCTAGTAAATTGAAAAAAAAATTATCTAGTAGAATTACCTGTAAAATTATCTGGTAAAAAAAATTAAAAGAATTATCTAGTAAATTAAAAAAAAAAAATCTGGTAAAATTATCTGTAAGATTATCTGATAAAAAAATTTGAAAAAATTATCTAGTAAATTGAAAAAAAATTATCTAGTACAATTACCGGTAAAATTATCTGGTAAAAAAATTTTAAAAAAATTATCTAGTAAATGAGAAAAAAATTATTTAATAAAATTATCTGGTAAAAAAATTGGAAAAAATTATCTAGTAAAATTATCTGTAAAACTGTCTAGTAAAAAAACCTGACGACCGTGCTTGAAGCACTGAGGGGGTATGGGAGCAAGTCAGATTCACACCGAGCCCTCCCTTCCTTAATATAACATTATTTTTTTTATAAAACACCCCATAATTTCTAGATTTATTTTCTTTAGTGCAACGGAGTTCCTAAAAATCGCGTTCACTGCTTGGAGCTGGCAGCTCGGGGGGGATTGTATATAAAAAAAGAGAGAAAAAAGGGAAGGGGAAAAGCAAAGTTTGCTGCTTTTTATTTATTTTTTTTTCCCCTAATGGAGGGTGGGGAAGCAAGGACATGAACGCTGCTTGGAATCTGTCTCCCTCGTGTGAGCTGGAGAGGAATCCAGCATCCCATACCTCCTCCTCCTCCCAGCCAAACCACTGCTTGGAAATACGCTTAAAATAAATTAAAAAAATATATATATATAATTTAAAAAGGGGATTTTGGAGTCGTAAAGGCCGTGCCACGCGGCCAGGCCGGGGGTTGTCAGTGCCATCTTCTGTCAGCTGCACTGCACTGCACAAGCCATGGAAATCCAGCTGGAAAACCAGGATTGCATCACCCAGCCTGGCTCAAACCCTTCCCCTTGGAAAAATCCTGAGCCAGCAGCGCTCCCAGCCCTTCACCCCCTCCTCCAGCTCTGCCCACAGGGAGGTTTCACTGCTTGGGACCCTCCGTCATTACAGAATATATTTTATTTATGGAATTTTACAAATATCTGTACAGTTCACGTGACATAAGTTACGCTCTTTGTTTCAACGTGTTCTCTCCCACAACACCTGAGTTATTGAAATACTGAGATGGAACTGGAGCTTCCAACTGGACACGGGAAGGGAAACACGGATGAAAATCCATAACGAGCTCAATTTGGGTGGTTTTTTTCCCTCCTCATCCTCCTGCCTGCCCCATCCCTTCCCTGCTGGTAGGTTCCAGCCTGTCCAGCTGAGAATGGGAACGGAGGGGGAGTCTTGTTTCTCTGGGGATGTGGGGGGTTCACCTCCACACCCCAAATTTTTGGGTTGCAGATTTCTCAAAAAAAAACCCAAAACTGGAAACGAGAAGACGACGGATTCATGATTCCCACCTTGTGCCGAGGGGCTGCACCAGCTCCCAGGAATCCCAGCATCGCTCCTGCCGCTTCCCAGCTCTCGGGGACCTCCCAGGCACAGCTCTCAGGGGACAAACACCCCGATTCCCCCCCTTTCCTCCACCACTTTTCCATCGGTGCCCCATGGAAACCCTCCAGCCACCTGGTGTTTTTCCTTGGGAGAGAGGAGAGGGCAACATGTGCCAGTCCAAGGACTCGAGATTTTCCACATTGAGTCGCTCAGCCGGGCCTGCAGCTCTCTCAAGCAGGGAAAAGGAGTTTCCAGTGGCACTTTTCTCCTGGATTAGCAGCACAGGGAATGAGTGTGAGGTGCTGCACAGGTGACTGAGCCAGGGCAGGCCTGGCTGCTCTGTCCCACAGGGAGAAGTGACTTAAGGTGACAATCCACAAAACAAGACACCACATAAGATAAAGGAAGGAATCTCTCCTTGAAGGAATCACCCAAGGACCATGTGGCACCTCTGGGTGGAGGGTGCTCCCAGAAAGGCTCCCTGCTCCTTTGACAATTTGATATTTAGGTTTTGGGGTGCAGGACAAAGCCAACATCCTTGTGGTGCTGAGGGGACTAAGCCCAGCCTAAGAAAGCCACTGAGAGCAGAGGTGATGATCCATAAGGATACTGGAAATGCCAGAGTCCAGGGACTCGGTGACAACGGTTAGGAGCTTAGGAAGAACAGCACCCAGCTGGGAACTAAGGGAATTCAGGGACTACAGTGATCCAAACAGGGTACAATGCTGCTGGAGGTGCTGAGCCTGTGCCAGGGGCTGAGGAAAAATCCCTGGCACACCCTTGGCTTTGCTTTCTGCAGGGTGGGGAGGGAAGGTGTGGGATCCTCGGCTCCAGGACCACACCGAGGTGGCAGGATTGTCACACACCCCCCCTACACAGGCAGGGAGGGAGGGAAGACACTCTCTGACAAGCACAAACACTTCCCAAAGCACCCGCACCGCTCCTCCATCCCAATCCAAGGGAAGCTCCCTGAATCCACTCCTGCTTATCCACACAGCCACGAGCTCACACCAGGTACGGGACAAGGTTTAGGGGGGGAAAAGGGGGTGTGAGGGGACCTCAAGCAACAGGGGTGGGGTGGGCAAGATTATCAATATGATAACTAGTAATTCACGTAGTGAATCTGGGGAAAGCCAGCCCCGGGGGCAGAGCTGGGAAGTGCCTGGAACACCCTTCTCTGGCTACTCCCTAAGGCTGGAAAAACGCAACCTAAAGAGGTTCACAGTCTGGTATTTTGTTTTAAAAACACCCCCCGCCCCACCCTGAACCTCAGCAGTGTTTAAAAGCCGGTGGCTGTTCCCGAGTGTCACCGTGAGCTTGGACACAGTCTGAGGAGAGACCCCTGGGCTGGGAGCCCACGGCCAGGCAGGGCTCTGCTCTCACCCCCCTTCCCACCAGGAGGAGTTGGGATTTGCCCCTCTTTCCAGCAGCACAGGGAGGGTCAGGATATCCTGGCCAGGTTTCTCCCAGCAGCCCACGTGTCACTCCAACCTGGCCTGGTGTCCTCTGCTCCGAGCGTGGACACCCAAAGGGTGCTTTAAAATCTCAACCCTCTTCACCCTGCTCTTCCCAGGGCTGGAACGGAGCAAACCCCGTCGGATGGTGGTGACACCATGAGCCTCCTCATCCTCAGCAGTGCCTGGAGAGCACAGCTCCAAGGGATGGCTGGTGGGGAATGCTCCAAGAAGGGTCTGTCCCAATCATACATCCCCCAAAGGGGTCAGGACTGCATCACATCCCATGGGAACGCTCCAAGAAGGGTCTGTCCCCATCTGTCCCCACCCCAAAGGGGTCAGGACGGCGTCACATCCCATGGGAATGCTCTGAGCACGGCTGAAGCAGCTCCTGCCTCCCCACTCCATCCTTCCCGGGAGAGGCGAGGAGGCCAGGGATATGACACGGGAAAGCGATTCTCTGGTCAGGTCAGTCCTATGGGAAAGGGGGATTCAGCCTCCCCTCACAGTCTTAAACCCAAAGAAGGTCTGTGGAACAGCTTTCAAAGCGATGTCTCCTCTGTAGTGTGACGTCAGTGCCCGCACAGGTACCGTCGTTTGCTTGCAGCAGGAAAAGGGTAAGAAAAAAAAAAAAACCCCAAGGAAAACCCCTTCCCCCCACCCCACCCCAAAAAAAAAGGAAAAAAGTGGATCAGGGCTGCAGTTTGGGCTGGTCCTACCCAATCTGGATCTGGCCAGAGTACATGGTGAGCAGCACCATGATGGTGAAGCCCGTGAGCAGCCCCGCGTTCTGGATGGCGAAGGTGATCAGGGCGCTGCCGTTCTGCTCGTCCTCCCGGCTCACCTCGTTCATCTCGGGGAACTGGGAGGGGAAAAACAGGCACAACAAAGGCTCAGCGACAGGAAAGGCTCTGTTCTTCCCAGGAAAAAAACACCCCCCCCCCCCCCCCCGCCCCAGCCCGTGGATTTTGCTCAGCCAGGCAAAGCAAAGCAGAGACAGCAAAGCGTGTGCCAAGGGGACGGAGCAAACCCACCCCCAGGCTAAAGTTTTCCTAGGAAAAAAGCCCTGGGAAGATCCCAACCACGCACCCAGGCTCAGGATTTACCATGTCAGCCAGAGCTATGTACAGGAACATCCCTCCAGCCAGAGCAAAGATCCAGTTGGCAGAGAAGTGGCTGCCGGCCACGATGCCAAAGGCCAGGCCCACGTAGCAGCAGCAGGCGGAGATGAAGTTGAAGAAAAGAGCCTGGCGGATGGTCATCCCGGCATTCAGCAGGATGACAAAGTCCCCTGCGGGAGAAAAGGACGGGAGGATGAGGAGGGAAGGGCTGTTGGCAGCATCGGGACAGCACCGAGGGGCCGCCTTGAACTTCGGGTCATAAATCGTGGAGTGTCCTCAGCTGGAAGGGACACACAAAGGATCATTGAGTCCAACTCCTCCTCCTGCACAGGACAGCCCCAAAAATCACATCCTGTGCCAGCTCCTGCGTGGGCTCTGCCACTGCCCTTAAATTCAGAACTTCACACCCAAACCTGCCTCCCCCCTCCACTAACAGCACACCACTGCCCCTAAATTCAGATATTCACAC